TTCTTATTGCACAATTTTTAGTGTATAAGTTAAAATTAACAATTATTATGACAGTATTATCCATATTGTAAGGTGAAAAGATGGAACTAAAAGTAGAGGAATGAGAAATAATCAAACCATGTTAAATTGATCTATAAAATGTAATTGATGGTTCGTAGTCAGTTATTGTAATACTGATATTTTTTAGAAATGGAATAAAATTGTAGGTAGAGTTACTAGAAGATTACTGAGTTTGTTTTTAAAGGTCAAGGTGTTTAGTAGTCTCCTCTATTTCTTTTTGATGTACCCTTACGAATAGAGGACGTAATTTTTTGCATTTATCGGAGAAGGTCATCCTTCTTTCGTAGTTATATCCTATTTGACTCTCTTCTTTTGTGGGGCGCTTTAAGTTTGAGCTTTAGTTTAGCTACAAGGAAAGTATGATCTATGGCGCCATCTACTAAAATATCTATTAAAAGTTATATTGCGATTTAAAATGACGAAAAACAGATATACTGTTTTTTACGTCTTTCCGTACAATTTTTTGAAAATTAACAAAACTTTTACAAAAACCTTGCCCTGATAACAACAAATACACCAAAAAAAGAGTTATCTAATTTGGTGCATTTTTATTATTATTCAATTTTTAAGCTTACGTAACACCGATTCTTTATGCATCACCTAGTATATTTGATTAATAGAAGCATTAGCCAAGAATCTAGTAACTCATATTATTTAGATTTGGTTAACAACTTTAATAAATATTTATTGAATTAAATATAATGTAACAGGTTTGTCCATGACCTTTGAAAAGAACTCCTGTTTTGATGATGGTTAGTTCGCACTAGATGTATAGTGAAAAATTATTCGTTTGAAGCAGAACCGGTCTATCTTATTTTATGATTTAACTTTAACATAAATAAAAATAAATACGAATTCCTTACAATAAAATAATAAAGAAAATATGAAAAATTGTCTTTCGTCTATAAGCTACAAATTAATGGCGCCTATCTTCTTCTTCTTATGGCGCCTATCTGTTACGTATGTTGGACACTAACATGGCTATTCTGACTTTGTTGACTGTTGCCCTGTAAAGTCCGGTAGTGGACCTTCAAGACTGTCTGCAAAAATGACAGTATCATCAGCGTATCATGTTGTTTAATCGTTCTCCGTTTATAAGTATTCCCTCATCTATGTCCGTTAGCGTTAGGGCGAGCGCCCACCAAAGTGGCGTGGCAGTGGCAAGTAGCAAGTAGCACGCGTCTAGCATAATGTAACCAATGAAAACGAATGATTCAGTTTACACCAAAATGACAGTAACGTCATTTATTCTAATCATTCGTTAGGATTGGTTACATTATGCTAGACGCGTGCTACTTGCTACTTGCCACTGCCACGCCACTTTGGTGGGCGCTCGCCCTTAGGTTCACATGGGGTCTGAATATGCATTGAACAATAATGGGGACAATATACATCTCTGTCACACATCTCTTCTTTATGTCGTCTGTTAACTGATCCCCAACTCTAACAGCTGCAGTTTGTTCGTAATAGATATTGTTTTTTATACGGCGATCTCTGCTGTCTAGACCAATTGAATTTACTATTTTCATCAGTTGGTCATGTTTTATTGTATCGAACGCTTTTTGGGTATCAACAAAATACCCATATATATCACAATCACGTCTCTACATCTTTGAAAGAGAACTTGTATTGCAAAAGTGCCTCTCGAGTACCCAAAGCACCCTGAAGCCAAATTGTGTGTTTGTCATGTCTTCTTCACATTTTTTATATATTCCTTTATGTATAATTTTTAAAAAAGTTTTCAAGAAATGGCTTATAAGGCTTATTATTTGATAATCATCACATTTTTTGCCATTGGGTTTTTTAGAAATTGTTATATCTTAGCCACTGTTGGGGTATTTTCAACTTTGGTATATATTGTTAAAGATCAAGGTAAGTCTTTCTACTTCGTCTTTATTCATCATTTTTAAAAATTCTGAGTAGCATTCGTCTGGTCCTGCGGCTTTTTCCTCCTTAATGTTGTTTATAGCAGCTTCTACTTCCGCTTCGAGAATAGTTGGTCTGGTATCGTCATTTTTATTTTGTGCGATGGTGACATTCCTATCCTCCTCAAATGTTGTTGTCACATAGTTTATCCATGTTGTTTTTGTTTCTTCAATATCAACTATTGGGTTTCCTTGAGCGTCTGTTAAGTGCCCCGCTCTTTTTGACTTATAAATACCTGCTGCTTCTTTGATCTTTTTGTGGAGGTTGAAGGAATCGTGTTTACGTTCTTCCAATCACACTGTTCTTCCAGATTTCTATTTGTAGCTCCTCTGGCAGCTATTTTTATCTCTTTGTCTAGAAATTGATATGCAATGTAGTCTTTCCGCTTGGATTCTCTTCTTATGTCCATCATCTGTAATATACCGTAAGTTATCCATGGTTTTTTTTTTGTCTTTTGCGGTCGCAGGTATTGGTCTAATATTTCCTTCCGAATGTTTTGTAAGTGGTTTATTTCTGTGTCAACATCATTAACTACTTCTGACTTAGATATGTTGTTCTTCAGATATTCCCGTACTTCTTGCTTTATGCCCTCATCTCTTCATTGTTTGAGATCGTATCTTATAGGATTAGGTTTGTGGATTTTTTTTTAATTTCAGACGAAACTTAGCGACAAGTGGGTTCTTCTATTTTTTATAATATAGTCAATCTTGTTTCTTATGAGATTTTATGGCGTGTCACCGGGTGAGCGCCATGTGTACAACCTTCTGTATGGTAATTTGAAGAGTGTATTGGTGATTACCAACTCTTCTTCCGTAGCAAATATGAGTATGCGTTCTCCTCTTTCATTTAGCTCACCCAGACCCCATGGACCTACTACTTCACCATAACTACCCTTACCGATTTTGGCATTAAAGTCACCCATAACTAGCGTTATTTCATTGGTTTTTAACTTACGTACGACTTTCCTTAAATCGTAATAAAAAGCCTCTATTACTTCGTCTGATTTATCTGCTGTGGTTGCGTATATTTGGATTCTGTTGGTTTTTGCTGAAAATAAATCCAATTGAATGAGCTTGATTCTCTCGGATATTGGAATAAAATGGGTAACGTATTTGTTTATTTGTTTATTTAAAATTATTCCGACGCCATGCTTATGTTGACCATCTGTATTTTTAGAGGAATATACTTGGTGCTTGTTTATTTGACATTTTCCGGCATTATGCCATCGCATTTCACTGATGCCCATTATATCGATATTTAGTCTTTTCATTTTATGGATGGCATTATACATTTTGCCTGCTTCGTACATGGTCTTGCCATTCCAGGTGCATATTTTAATAAACTGCTTAATTTTTCTAGGCGCATCCTTTTCGTTTACTTTTGGGTTTTGATTGCTAACGACCTGGGAGGCTCCGTGGCTCTGTGTTGTTATTCCTCTCCTGCCGGATCTTGCATTTCGATATACATGATCAGTAGTTTTTACTCTCAAAGATGTAGCCATGATAAATGTACAAGAAATATCCATATATATCTTTAATGTAGTGGTTTCTTCTTGCTTTCTACATCCTTACGCCGTTAACCCAGTTCTCGATTCATCCGCCTTTAGGGTCAGTTTTCCAACCCTAGGACAAAAGAGTGCCCTACCACTTACCAACTCATCTGCCCGAAGCCGTTGGTAGGTAAGTGGGGGATTGCTTATACCGGCAAATTAATACAAAGTAATATAGTTCTTATTAATCAACAACCAATTAATGAAATTACTATTTATAACTGGGAATAAGCCACAATTAAAGATAAAAATACGTTTATTGACGTTTCAATTTCCAATTCGGAAATCGTTCTCAAAATACAAATAGTAAATTAAACAAATTTTGTTTTTTTGTTACATAGTGAAAAAATTCTTCTAATAATTTAATTTTATCTGACTCATTTATATTGACAATTCAGACATACATTATGCATTTTAAAGTAGACGACTTTAAAATGATATTGCCAATATTGTTGAGTTGCGCTCCTGGGACGACTTTACTTATAAGATAGTTCATTCGATTACATGAAATCAACTTTAACTTGAGAATATCCGTCAGAAAAAATCATAGCATGTAATTCGTCTTTAAAAAGACAAACACATGACATGATGACAGTAAAATTCTCCTGTTAGTGATTCCATAGTAAATTATGAGGGAAAAACCAGGAAAAAAACCTCATAATACTATCCCGACATTGTAAGTATTTGTTCGTGAATTTAGTTTACCTTCAACAAACATCAAAATTCTGATTTTATATGTTACGTTATTTAAAAAACATAAATGATGTATCCTCTATATGTTACTGACTTACTAATACTGGTATTTTCTTATTAATAACTTCCTCTTTCAATATTGGTAACCAGATCCTACTACATTCTGCCGAGGAATTTGCGACACAATTGGCCTCATTTAGCATAATTAGAGCCGCTTCTTTGATTTTTCTTTTTTTGCCATCCGTTTCTTTTAGGACTATATTTGAATTATTCCATTGAACTCTATGTTCATTATCCCATGCGTGTTTACATATTTGAGATCTATCAAATTCTCTATTTTTAATATAAGATTGATGTTCACTTATTCTAACATTTAATGGCCTTGATGATTCACCTAAATAAAACTGATCGCATTCACAAGGTATTTTATAAATGCAATTCTTTGTCCTTTCTTGTTCATTGTTAGGTTTGGTTTTGGACAAAATAGATCTCAACGTGTTTGTTGTTTTGAATGTTGTTGAAATGTTGAATTTATTTCCTATCCTTTTAAGTTTTTCTGATAATCCTTTTATGTACGGTATTGTTATTTTCCTCATATTATTCCTTGTGTATGCTGTAGGATCTCGTTCTAAGTTGTTCTGTTCTATTCGATCGATTGTTGAAAATAGCTTCAGAACAATATCAATTAATGAAACTTATATGAACCCATCTTTAATTAGTGGAGCTTCAAATAATGTAATATTAAGAAAACTATATAAGGTTTTTTTTTTAGATATTCTGGAGCATACCAATTTACTATACCCACCCTAGTTATAAAGGACCTAGAATTAATTAAACAGATTGGAGTTAAAGACTTTGATCACTTTACCGACCACAGAGCAATCATATCTGAAGAAGCTGATCCACTGTGGGGAAAAAATCTATTTGCTTTAACAGGTACGTTTTTAAAATAAATGGTACTAGCCTGCTTTATACCAAGCTGTTGTGCACCTTACTCTTATCTTCTTTTCCTCCTTCGTATTCATATTTTTAATTAATACTTCGCCTTCCTGTGGATTTTTTACTAACATTCCATGCAATGAAGAACGCTTTGTTACTTGAACCAATCAATCATTTTGATTTCTATTTTTTGAAAATATACTTTTTCAGGTCAAAAATGGCGGGAAATGAGACCAATTCTAAGCCCATCTTTTACCAGCAGCAAAATGAGAGTGATGTTCATTTTGATATCCGAAACGGCACAAGCTTTCACCAAACACTTTTTAGAACTCGATCAAGATGTTATGGAGATCGAAATGAAAGACACGTTTACGCGTTTTACCAACGACGTTATTGCTACGACAGCTTTTGGTGTTAAAATTGATTCTATGAAGAATAAAGAAAACGATTTTTTTGTTATGGGTAAAGATATCACCAACTTCAGTGGATTTTGGAAAAGTCTTAAGTTTCTGGGAATGGTATTTTTTCCAAAATTGTTTTCAGTAAGTAGAAATATTTAGTGTGTAGTTTAGGATATTATTTTTATTTTTGTTTTAGCTTTTCAAAGTTGGTTTGTTCACTGCTCGCGTCAGAAAGTTTTTCACTGATCTTGTTGATGATACAATCAAAGTCAGAGAAAAAAAGGGAATAGTACGTCCAGATATGATCCATCTTTTAATGGAAGCAAGAAAAGGAGTTCATCAACATGAAGAAAAAGTTATAGATACAGGATTTGCGGTTGTTGAAGAGTCAGATTTAGGTTAGGTATTTTGATCTAAATTCATCAGAATTTTATATACGTATATTTTAATTATAGGCAAAGGTGTTATCAAAGAGATGACCAACTTGGACATCGCTGCTCAGGCGATGATCTTCTTCTTCGCTGGTTTTGATTCGGTGTCTTCGTTAATGTGTTTCATATCTTATGAATTGGCACTCAATCCTGACATTCAGGAAAGACTTAAAACAGAAATAGAGGACACGCTAAAACAGTATAATGACAATGTGCCATATGAAGTGATATTAAAGATGAAATATTTAGATATGGTGGTATCAGGTAAGAAGAATAGGCGAATAGTTGCAATTATTTTGATGTAGATTAAGTGCGATTTATTTAAATTTAATTTTGTTTTAGAGGGGCTTCGAAAATATCCATCAGCTGTAGCGATAGACAGAATTTGCACCAAACCCTACATAATTGAACCTGTGACGCCGGACGAGAGTCCTGTCTACGTGGAGAAAGACACGATAATATGGTTTCCAACCTACGCTATCCACCGTGACCCTCAGTACTATCCAGACCCTGAGAAGTTTGACCCCGAGAGATTTAACGATGAAAACAAAGTCAAGATTCGACCTTACTCTTACATTCCCTTCGGGGTTGGCCCTAGGAACTGTATTGGATCTAGATTTGCAATTTTAGAGACTAAGGTCGTGTTCTTTTATCTATTGTCCAACTATAAGCTGGAGCCTTCAACCAAAACAGCAATTCCATTAAAAATTAATAAGAGCAAGTTCAATTTGGATGCCGACGGGGGCTTTTGGTTCAATATGAAACGTTTAAGGAAATAAATTGAAATTGACACATTTATAAATAAAGTTATTTTAATATTATTACATATTGTTATTGGATATCTAGTTCGTATATATTAATTAGAAATTTGGTAACATTTACGAATAATACTTACTTTTAATACTTCACCATTCCTATTTGAGAAGCCAACGAGTGAACACCTGGCTTCTGCTAATAGTATTTTTAATAAAAACATGTTAAAAAAATAGTTAACGTGATTTGTTTAACAGGTAAACATTTGTATACAGTCCGTCCCAAACCCTTCTTTCAGTGCGTCATAGTTGTTCGAATTCTCTCTAACGCATTAAGCTAGAAGTGACAGAAAAAAACGTGAGTCTCTGATTATTATACATAGAACTTAGAAAATTAGGTATCGGTCACGGGTATTCGCATATTAAAGCGAATTCTACTTACGAACGTATAATTGGTTGGAGTTTAGAATACGCTAAATAGATATCCAATCAATTATGCATATAACTATAATTTGACACAGATGATCTTGATAATGACAGTGACAGTACTTTCACAATGTCAACTGATAAAATGATAATTGCCGTTCCAGGTTAGTATTTTCAGACATTTTACCTACAGTGAAAATTAAATTTTGTATTTATTGTCATAAAAATATTTTAAATATTCCGAGATATACCGAGAATGAACAAAGACTAATATTAAAATTATTAAATTAGTTTCAATTAGAAAAAGAGGCTGAGTTATCTTTATTATCAGTTTCTGTCGTTCGCGAATCAGATTGTGAATTCCGGAATGATATTGAGAAAATATCTTAAACTAATACCGTTATGGATATTTATATGTATTAAAACGGTTCTTTTTAGAACCACGACATTTTCTTGAAATGTAAGATATAATTGATACCAGCCACATATCTAGTGTAATCATTGATTTTAAAGAATCAGATTCTGAATGGGATTATGGATTGTTTGAAATATAATATTCATTTTTGTTATTCATAAAAAAGAAGGTAAGCTTACATTCGGTATCTTATTTTTTAACTAAACTCCATTAACACGATTTCATCTGGGTACCGGAACTGGTAGATTAACTCAAAAATCAACTGCTTCACTATTTAAACGATTTCCACTATTTAATGACAAATCTTTACAAAATTAAACTATTGGGTGCCACAGAAACTTATCAGAAAATTACTTATCCAAATATGACTGATTTAAATCGATGTTATTTTATCACAGGAATGTTTACTTTGATGCCTTGCAATTGCAATTGTCATTGCAATATGCCTGTGTGTTTGTAATAAATAATAATAAATCCATAAACGAATCTAAGCTAATTAAGCACTTTCCTTGGAATGTATAAAATAGAACAGAATAGAACAGAATTATGACAAACTGCTATGCATTAAAAAAAAAAATAACCTTTTCACATTTAGCCGATTACGATCCTACAACTGTCAGATTTAACTAAAATGTCATGCAATAATTCTCGACATTCTTTAAATCCTATATGACGTCAAAATTAGTGACGCACTGAAAAAAGGGTTTGGGACAGACTGTAGTCAATATGACTTAACAGGTTGACTGCCACAAAAAATGTTTAAAACAGTCCATGGTGCCAAGTTGAAAAAAGTGCATCTTGCAACCAACTAAAATACTTCCATTACTAATATTTCACTAATTTCATTTACTGGGAGCCAAATCTAAGTACGTAATTAAACAAAGCAAAAAAGACTTTTGGAAAAAACACGTCTCATCCATAAATACTGACACTCCTTTTAGCAAAATTTGGAAAAAAATTGAACACATGACAGGAAAGAAAACTTCAAAAATTCAAAAATTTCTGTCATACTTACTCAAAACAGTACAGTCACTTGTAGTCAACAAATTGTTAACATCTTGGGTGAAACTTTTCATAAGAAAGTAAGAAATAGACTTACTTCAAATTGGCAGCTTCCCATGTCTACTAATCTAAACTCCAGTTTATCTGATAGCAGAAAATCCGATCAAATTTCTCTAAATATGCCGTTCACATTACAAGAATTATCAGATACATTGTACTGTTGCAAAAATTCAGCCGCAGGTCCAGATAACATTCCCTTTATCTTTATTAAAAATCTTTTAAGGCCTAGGCTAGCCAAATTGCTGGAAATTTACAATTTAATATGGACTAAAAAATCATTTTCAACTTTGTGGCAAAAATCCATAATAATTCCTGTTAAAAAACAAAGCAAACCTTCAACTGATCCAAATTCCTACAGACCAATTTCTCTTACATGTACAATGTGCAAACTTATGGAGAAAATGATCAATACAAGACACCTGTGGTTCCAAAAACATATAAAGAAACATGAAATGTTTCTATTGATAAAGTAAATACTACATCAAAGATTATACAAAACATGTGAATGGGACATCAGTGACTCCCAGTTCGGGTTTAGGCAAGGTTTAGGAACACGAGAAGCAATAGTAGCAACACAGGTGCTGGTCCAAAATTGTTACGATCAGAAGAAGGATATGTTCCTATGCTTTTTGGATTACCAAAAAGCGTTTGATCGTGTCCAACACCACAAGTTAATGCAGATCCTCAAGAAAGTTGATATAGACCAAAAAGACATAAGATGCATTGAAAACTCGTACTGGCATCAAACGGCACAGTTAAAAATAGACAATTCTATATCCCAACCCATACATATAAGAAGGGGCGTTTTAATATGTATGGGTTTGTGGAATTTGTGACAACATAGTCGATCTTCAACAACTTGTCACTATAATCGGAGAATACAGTAAGCGAATGGGATTAGAGATTAATACCAAAAAAACAAATTTATGATCATCTCCAGAAACTTGGATGCACTTGAAAACTCCACCATAACACTGAATACTAAGTCCATTGAAAGAGTGAGTAAATTTAAATACCAGTGATCGTGGCTTTTTGAAGACTGGGCATCGGACAGGAAAATAAAATGTCGCATTGAGCAAGCTCGACAAGCTTTCGTAAAATTCAAGAAGGTACTGACTTGTTCAGAGTTCGATCTTCAACTGAGACTAAGGTTTACTAAGTGCTACGTGTGGTCAGTGCTGATGTATGGCGTAGAGGGCTGGACACTCAAAACGAGGGATATAAACAGATTAGAAGCTTTCGAAATGTGGCTCTATCGCCGTATCCTAAAAATTCCATGGACAGCGAAAATCACAAATATAGATGTCCTTAAAAGAATAAACCAAGAACGCCAACTTTTCGAAACCATCAAGAAAAGGAAAACGGCGTATCTAGGTCACATCATGCAATATGAAAAATACCAGTTCCTCCATTCTATAATCAAGGGTAAAATTGAAGGCAAGAGAGGAATGGGAGGCAAGAAAATATCCTGTCTCCGAAACATAAGGCAACGGACAGGGATTAACGACATACAATCTCTGATACATATTGAAAGAAATAGAGAATTAATGGAAAATGTGATCGGTAACATCCATTAGTGGATTTGCATCTGAAGAAGAAGAATATTGATAAAGTAGCAACGAGTGGGTTTCAGAGAACACAAGAAAATGTCAAGTCACCAAATACAACAGGTTTATTTTCCAACAAAGTAATGTGGTTCTTTCTACAAAAACGTTAAAACAATATTTAATGCTACAAACAGGTATGAATAAAGATATCTAAAAATCTGCCTTCTCATTCAGTTTCAGTTTCAAACTCCAAATCAACGTCATCATCATAACCCTCTACATCATTTATAATAGCGTCATTAGCAAGCAATGATGTAAAAAGTTTTGCTCGTTTTCAGGAATCAAATGCATAATAGATTTATTATCATTTAACTTGGGCGTACAAATAGGTTTTCCAGTTGGCCATGAAAGCTCCAAGTTATGTATAGGTTATTCCACAAATATACGACTGTTTTGAATTACTGCGACAACGAATATTTTACTGTCCAAGTAGAAGTATGAAAGTAAATTGGTCTAAACAGTATTCCAATTAAATGGATCTACTGTTGGTTTGACACTTAAACTAAAATTATTTCAGTTAATAGATGTTCAGATAGACGCAAAATTTATTGTGAAATTTAATCCGAAAATAACAAAAATGTTTACGCAAACCGTCCTACAAATAAATACATTAAGTTCTATGAAGCCAAAATGTGTTCATAAGACATTTGGGTTGAGTTTCCGTGAAATATAAACACCAAAGAGGCGTGCCGGGTTTCTTTGATATTACACTATTTTATTACTTTATTAGGTACTACAACTGTAATAAAAAGAAATATACTATTTTCAATATAAATGAAAAGAAATTGTCAGAACGATGGTTCAGAAACCAGAAAAAGGATCTAATAATATTTCACTTTGTTAGTTTTAAATATTTGTTTGCTTTGAGTGGAGGTACACCTAAAGTTCCGAAAGTAACGGGTATAACATAGTTAAAGTACCAAGTCGTTACAGATATTAAAAAGTTACGAAAATTTATATACAGTTTCATATATCGCCGACTGATTTTATTTTTAAAAACCGTCCGTATACAGGTGTCCGGTGAAGAGAGGTGCCGTTGAAAGAGTTTAGTGTAGCGTATTTGTTTATTGAAGCCAAAAATATCGAGACGTGTTTTAGATGTAGACAACTTTTTATTTAATGTACTTTCTTATGGTGAAGTTCTGTAAATCTGATAGTTAATGATAGTTTTAGGAGAACAAGTAAGATTTTTTTGTTTTTTTAATCTTCTTCTTATGGTGCCTTATCCTTAAGGACGTTGGCCATTACATTTGCCCATTTAATCTTATTTGTAGCAGCCCTGAATAGTTCTATGGAGGTCATGTTCGTCCACTGCCGTAGGTTTTTAAGCCAAAAGTTGCGTCTTCTTCCTGGTCTTCTCTTGCTATTGACTTTGCCTTCGATTATAAGTTGGGTTTCTTAATACTAATTGAATATTCGACTAAATAAATTACACTATTTAATCACCTAAGTATTGTTACACTTCGTTTAAATCACTTAATTCAAAAACCAACTTGTTTACAATACTAAAATTAATGATAGTAATTATATACTTCAAAATCTGAATTACAACTGATCTATAAACTATCAACTCTATATTTATATTATGACTTCATATTTAAATCAAAGTCATAACATTATTTTAAAAATGGAGGAAATTTACTATT